TTACCTTTCATGTATATAAAAAATTTTTAGATTAAATAATAATTCTCATATCTGCAGAAATCGGGGGGAATATGGGGGCTATATGATATAGTCCTCCGATTTCAATGATTTTCGCTGTCAATATGTATTTGCAGATACGAGTGCAGAATGCCAAATCTCACGCTTTTAGATGCTTTTTTGGTTAATTTCTTCAGTCAAAAACCCTAGCCTCTGAATGAATCGGTTGCATGGGACCAGTGATCTGGTCTGAACAGTTCGGAAAAAAGTTTAATACATTACAAAAACACATCTGCTTACCAAGTTCGGTTGTATATCATGACTAGTTTGTATAAAAATAAACAGATAGACGGACGGACATGGCTAAAACCACTCAACTCGACATTCTGAACCATTCGGTATAAATTTTGACGGCTCTATGTGTTCTCTTTCTGGTACTTATGTACATACATCGAACCATATATATATTGGGAGCTTAAGCGATTTTCGGCCGAGCTCTGCCTCCAATTTTTGGTTTATACTTATCCGCTTTCGACTCCGGCTAATGGTTTTTTATGAGGAGCCTTTATTTCATGTCCACTGTCGGAGTATAATATTTTCTGCCGATCATAAATAGTATAATATTTTGTGTTCATGAAGGGTATAAAAATAATTCTTCTTCTTGATTAACGTAGGCGTCTTATACGCGATTATAGCCGAATCAAAAATAGCGCGCCAGTCGTTTGTTCTTTTTTGCTGTTTGGCGCCAATTTGAAAAAACCAAGTGAAGTCAGAGTCACCCTACACCTCCAACGATGTAGAGATATTCCTTTTCCTCTGTTTCCATCGAATATTTTTCCTGTGTCGGAAGTCTTGTTTGGTTCAGAGAGGTATAATCACCCAATTCTGATAGAAGGGGTAGTAAGCGTAGATTCGTTTCGCAAGCCTACTTTCCAGGAGCCTATCGTTGGTGCTTTGTAACCACTTAAGCGATTTTCGGCCGAACTCTTCCTCCCTTAATTTTTGGTGTATGTCTTGGTGTTTTTTCCACAAATGGAGGGACCTACGAATATACAGACTTGGCCAAAAGCATCAGGCACCCCACTAATTACTGAATTTTTTGTTTTAACAAGTAACAAGTGTTAGGTATGCTTCGTCCACACTTTGCACACTCGTTAATTAAGGCATTCTTTAAGGCATTATTAAAGGCGGTGTTTGATGTTATACTGTGTTCCTTAATCTTACGTTTCAAAGTAGCTCATATGTACTTAATGGGACTAAGATCTGCAGATTGTGCAGGCCAATCTAACAAAACAATGTTGTTATCTCTAAACCAACGCATCGTAGTCGCTGATTTGTGACAAGGAGAATTGTCTTGCTGAAATTGAACCCCGTCTAAACTAGTATCGCCGAAAATACGCGTTAACGAAAGCAGAAGAACAGCCTCTAATACATTTATGTGCTTTTGACTGTCCATGCGACCCCCGCAAACGAACATTTCGTCGACACACTCAGCAGCCATGCATCTCCAGATCATAATGCTGCTTCCTCCCTGCAATCTGGATGATACTCTTCCCCAACGCGTCGTCTCACGAACGTCACACCAGGTGTTCCAAATATCTGTAGAAAAGAAAAAATAATGTTTTCACAAGATTTGTATTATGTCTTCAAAATTGCTCTAGGGTAAGAAGCTATGGCTGTTAATACTTTAAGACGATATTAACTATACTTACCTTGAAGTTTGATTCATCAGACCACAGAACATACAACCAATTTTCTGCCGTGAAATGTTGGTATCGGCGAGCCCATCCCAAACGATGTTTCCTATTCTTTTCTGAGAGCCACGGCTTCTTTTGGGCTTTACATCCTTTTAAACCTGCTTCTAGAAGTCCTGTTCTAGCAGTTCGAGCACTTACCGGTTTACTAAATTCATCCGAAAGGGCAGCTGCAAGGGCAGAAGAAGATTTTTTGCGATCTTTGAGAGATCTGCGTATAAGTATTCGGTCTTCTTATTTACTGGTTTGACGCTTTCTTCCCATGTTTTGGTTTGTTATTGTGGGATTTCGTCTCCATAAATCGCCTGATAGCACATTGGACCGCGCACTGAGAACATCCCACCAAATTGGCAATCTCAACCTGAGACTTACCTTCTTCACTTAGAACTTGAATTCTAACTCTCTCATCGTAACTAATTTCACTTTTTTTAGGCATTTCGGTGGATAAGATTGGTAACTTTTCACTAAGTGTAACTCACTTTCAAATTTTAAATGCGAAAATATTTTATGAATTTCTTAAAATTGTCAATTTTTCGGTTTAGCTTACCCAGTCATATTTCAAAGATTTTTCGAGCATTACCCTTGCCGATCAGCTGCTCTAGCTTTACAAACTGACGCATTTCAGCCTCTTACTTTTTCCGTCTGAGTTTCGTTAGCGGCTTTACGCTGGGTGTTCTCTTAAATCGCGTTGGTTCATGAATGCTCTCAGCGCGCAGAAGTGGAAGTTTGCTGGTTGTCTGTTGTGATTGCAACTTTCTGAACTCGAACCTTTCTTTTATTAGTTGACCAACCGCTGCACTGAGGTTGATGCGTATCTTAGCTGTAAAAAAAAAATAGTTAAAATTAGGTCGGAATGCGCTTATGTTTAGAACACTGGTATTATGTCAGGCATTTGCGGCAGCAAAAAAAATTTTTTTTAATCGTTTGAACGGTCTTCGGGTCGAACTTCGGTTCCAGTCCTCATTTTGATGTCTTCCTGACAACGAGAAGGAACTATTGGAATTTTCACACGCTTCTCTTGAGGCCAATTTTTCAAGGGTGATGCCTGCAGTCTAGGGGCTCAAGATTTTTTTCGCATTAAGGCAATCCTAACGGACTTTTAGCCGGCCAAGGACTGTCACACCAATAACATTTTCCAAAAACTACTTTGGGAAATATTTCCTTCGCCTATAACAACAATTAAAACAGAGGAGCAAATGGCGACCGAGCAAAAAAGTTTTGTGCTCCAACTGTTGGCACGCATCGCTACTCTCTCTTATAGCCACAATTGTAGTTCAAAAAAAAAATTGCTATAAAATCGCCAACACCTTTTGCTGGTAATGCACCTCATACATGCATATGCTCATATTAAAGTAAAAAAAAAATTATTAAAAAAAAAATTATGCAAAGAAAAAAATTCAACAAAAGCACCACTTCCTGTACTCAACGAATGTACTGTTCTTTTGTGTTGCATTTTTCTTTAGCCGCCTGTCCGATGCGTCTTCCCCGACAGCGAGTATATGCACATACATATACATGTACACTTTTTGCAAATATAAAATTCCATGAAAAATAATTTTGCGGTAGCTAGTTAACAGTAACCAGTGGCTAGTGGCTAGTTGTTGCTGACCACGCCAACACATTGCCGTTACCGGTGAATACAACACTAAGTACAACGAGTAGTATGAAGTATTTTTTTCTTCTTCTTTTCTATAATTACAGACAGCAAACCATCATAACAATGGTTGTAGGCAATATTGCTGAGTGCAGTACAATACTATTATTTATGTACTTGTGTATCACTTATGCATGCACATACATATATACTTAGTGCTGCAGAATAGCTATATTTTCTGTTTCTTTTTTTTTTAATATTTTCTTTAGTGGGCATGTCTACCTGATTCGCAAGACTACTTCCCGCTTCTGTTTATTTTCACTTTATGCACTGTTGCCTACATACAATACAAACATATAAATATACATATGTACATACACTGTACGCTAAATACTAGCAACAAAGTGTTGCTTAAGCAGCAACAACGTACATACATACAAAAAAATGGCTTGTTAATGAGTAGAGAAGTAAATATCTTTGTATATAAAAAAATTCATCCGCGATTCATCACTTTAGCTAAAGTTTATCTTGTTAATCGCGAATTTTGCACTGAGTTTGAGATTTTCATTTCGGATAAACTAGAAGAAACTTGCAATTAGTGTAGAAGAAGAAGAAGAAGAAGAGTCGGCAGAGTAGCTATACGAAAGTTTCAATTGACGTTTTGTAAGCTGTAATCATGATTACCTATGCATAAAATTATAATTTTACTTTCTTTTAAATTTTTTATTTTTTTTTGATTTAAACTTTTTTTTTGCATTTTTTCATGTTTTTCCACTTTGTTTGTTTTCACACAAACGCTGTCGATGCTATTAAAAAAACATAATAATGTATATTATTTGACTAAAAAGCTACTAAATAATGGTTAAAGAAAAATATAAAGCAATTTTTGGTGTTGAAACGGAAAAGAAATTAAAAAAAAAAAATTAAAAAAAGAAAAATAAAATAAAAGCCTAAAAATATTTTTTATTTGTTTATTTTTAATAACAAGCAAACAAAAATTCATTAATAGCGCATGTTGAATAATCTTCAGCGATTCGTAAGCTCCACTGACTTACTGTAGCTTCAATGCAGCACAATGCTATATACATATGTACATATGTATGTCCATCATCCTCAACAAAACGGTGAACATGTATTAAACTTTAGTCCATATTTTCATTATCATTACTGTTAGCCAAGTGTGCCAGCCAAGTAGTCAATCAAATGCCAAAATATACATAAATACCTAGATATATTCGAGTACATTCGTACTAGAAACCCATTAACATTGCCAATCAAAGTCAATCAACAGCTAAAACGGTTTGTTTTTGTCGAAGGCAAAAATCCCAGCATAATATAATTATTTGTTGTACATTTTAAATATTTTGTTAATATTGATTTTTACTTTTGTTGCTGCCATTATTGCCATTATCGCTGTCATAATAAGCGCAATTTGGTTTGCGTCGATTGGTCACACTTTGGCTTGATGAATTATTAATGTACATCTGCTTATGTATATTCGCATTTTATTAATTGTTATTTATAATTGCTGCTGCTGCATAAAAGATAATGTAAATGATATATATGTATATGTATATATATTCACAAAAAAGCACGAGCATCTATAATTCGTCTTATGCAGATGTCTTTAAGTTATCAGTTATCGATAAAAAATTGTTTGTGTTTAATTAAATTCCATCACTCATTACCACAATAAAAAATATTTCATTCAGCAAATTGTCAATTATATACAACACCATCTTCATTCCAATTAAAAAATAACTTGAAATTGAAAGAAAAAAATTCAAAAATGCATAAATGTCGTCCCACTGGCGAATGGATGCACTACGATGCCGACATGCCAACACCAAAATCCATTACACATGATATGCTTGAAGCCGGCCGCAAAACATTATCAAACATAAAAATAATTGCAAGAAAACAATTGAATTTCCAATCATATCCAATGAACGATTTCCGCTTCGATTTACTGCATTACGATCAACCGAAGGAGTTTCAAAGTATTTCGACGTATAAACGTGATTATGTAGAAACGCTGCCGCCGCCAAAGTGTAAAGCTAAGAACATGCTGGAAGTAGATACACCGGATCCACTTTTCAATCGTAGAACAGTAAATGATTTCGAAATGTTACCTTGGGTGAATACGAAATTTATGGACGATAAACTATATGAGTTGTCTGAAGCACGAAAGAAAATCAATTTCTTTAGACAATTGCGAAATCGAAGTTTTCAATTTATGTAGTGCGCTAATTGTAGCAGAGCACGTAGTTAGAAGTAGTATAATGAATCTCTAGACCAAATAGAGCCAATAAAATTCTCCAAAATTCTATGCGCTCTCTTTTTATTAATACATACATAAATGTTTGAATATATGTATACAAGTCAGATTCGCAGGAATATTAAAAAAAAACTTCCATACACAAATCTATCATCATTTTTATTATCCATAACACAGTATGCACGTCCCGCATATGCCACATAACATATTTACTTATTTCATTTTTGTCAGTTATTTCCCATTTATTTTCTAGTATTTTGGTATTTTCTTTCACGGAAATATAAAACAAAAGAGCAGAGATGCGTAAATGCGGTCCATCTGGGGAGTGGATGAACTATGATGCCAACTTGTCAACACCAAAATCGGTAACACATGAAATGCTTGAAGCTGGACGCAAAACAATATCAAGCATCAGAATAATCGCTAGAAAGCAACTTAATTTTCAATCTTATCCAATGAATGATTTCCGCTTTAATTTGCTGCATTTCGATAAGACGAAGGATGTGGACCGTAATTCAACATATAAAAGGGATTATGTGCCGCCATTCCCACCGAAATGTAAGCCTAAAAACATTCATGATGTAGAATTGCCGGATCCGCTTTTCAATCGAAGGACAATAAATGATTTCGAGATGTTACCATGGGTGGATACAAAGTTTATGGATGATAAACTATCAAATATATCGGAGTCACGTAGAAAAATAAATTTCTTTAGACAATTACGTAATCGGAGTTTTCAATTTTAAGAAAGAAGTATGTGCATACATATATGATGACATCATAATTATTTTTATATCAATGTGTGTACCCATATTTTGTTCGCATATGAAAAACACAAATTGGCATGTTCCTTAAATAAAATTATATTTATTTTGAGCATAAAAATGCCGACTTACTTTTATACGGAAATCCGGATTAGCAGCGTCGGAAATAACACTTCGCTTCCGTTTAAAAACAATAGCCTGCAGCACTGTTCACTAACAATTATTATGTACAGTTTATGTAAACGCTGTGTAAAATTCTGTGTATTAAATTCTCTCAATATATTTTTAAATTAATTCAAATAAAACAGATAGAATTTTCCAGAATAAAAGCAAAATGCTCATATATGGGCTAGAAGCTAATTTGCGTTCACTGCGACGTCTATTGGTAACATTATTAGCTGTGTTTCCTAAGCTCGTAGAGTTGCATTGCTTAGTAGGAAAAGTTATTATATTTAAATACATAAAAATAGCTCTCACACGTGGTTACAACAATATTTCATAGATTAAGAAGTGATAAATTTATTTATATACTTTTTCTTTGAATTTCTGTCTTTATCAGTTTAATTTTCTACACAAACTGCTGCGCTTATTTAAACAAAGTAAAATGATGGTAAGGCTTCTTTGCAACCCTGTTCTGCGTCGAATAGAAAAAGTTTGTTTCGGCGATTGACATTTTTCTTTTTGGGAGTTTTGTTCGAAAGCTATAAAATTCTAGTGATAGGAGTGAAAATTTTCAAAACAAATTCAATATAGGCTAAAAATAAAATATATAACCACAAAAAAAAAGAAATTAAATGCCAACTGAGAACGAGTATAAATAAAATCCGCTGCTTAAATAGTGAATGTGAATACAGGATTGATAAAGCAAAACGACGCCATCGTAAAAGTAGCAAGCACTTTAGTGGGAAAATCAAAGGAAAACAAAAAAACGTACATATACATTTTCCAATTGCCCATTTCCAAAAACAGACGTTCAACTAAAAACGCTTTTCACACAGCGCAAGTTCAATTTTTAACGCTGGCGTGAACTTGTGGTGGGTGCAAAGCGTATAAGTGTGGTCCAAGGTGAAGAGGAATCGGTCAATAGACAAAATTTCTGAGGCGCACATATAACCATCGGAAAATTGTGCTGTTGTGTCGCACAAGACGAATGAACAAATAAATTACAAGAGCAAAACAAAAGCAAGTGGAAAGTAAAAGCATCGACAGCATCAACCATTTAAATACATACATACGTAGCATTGCAACACCAAACATTAACAAAATCGAAAGTCACAACCATGAGCTCGGTACGTATTATATTATTATATACATATATATATAATATATATATATATATATATATATGTATTTATATGCATCATTAAGCTTGACAAGATTTAAATATATTTTTTTATTTACACTATCGTATATACTCGTATATACTCAGATATCAAATGTTGAAAATCTGTCACCACAGACAATTCGTCAAGTAATGAAGGAAATGCAGCAAATGAGTGAGACACCATTGGAGGGCATTAAAATACAAATAAATGATGCTGATGTAACTGACATACAAGCGCTAATTGAAGGTCCTGGTAAGTACAAGTGTTTATTTTTGACCCCTACAACAACAATTTAGCACTTCGAATAGAAGAAAAAACGTGTGCAATAAGAAAAATCAATGCAAACCGCCCTTGAGACGAAGTTGCATGGCCTTGCCGATGTGTTGGTCAAAAGATTTTTTGCGTGCTATAAGCAAATATGTTAATTTAAACAATTTTAATTGCCCTTCTCTTTTGTCTTTTATTTATGCTATATTTTTATGCGTTTTCTCTGAAAATCTCTGCATACTACATATATTCGAAATGTTTGCAAACGTGTACTTATTACTGTACTGTACTGTTGTACTTTTATTTTAGTGAAAATTCTTTATTTTATATTAGCCAAAAAGAATGACATTCATATTTATTTATTTTCTATATGTACATTTATTAATAATAATATTTCTATTTGTTACTTTTTGCAGCTGGCACTCCATACGCCGGTGGCGTTTTTCGTGTTAAGCTAACACTCGGAAAAGATTTTCCGCAATCACCGCCAAAAGCCTTTTTCCTTACAAAAATCTTTCATCCAAATGTGGCAGCCAATGGTGAAATTTGCGTTAACACATTGAAAAAGGATTGGAAACCCGATTTGGGTATTAAGCATATATTGCTCACCATTAAATGCCTTCTTATTGTACCAAATGCAGAATCTGCGCTTAACGAGGAAGCTGGCAAACTGCTACTCGAACGTTATGATGACTACTCACAGCGTGCTAAAATGATGACAGAAATTCATGCGCAGGTTAGCAAATTGTTTAAAATTATTTAAATATAAGTAATATAATTTTAATTATCTCCTTTTTTCTTTCAGGCGGCTAAGAGTGCGGCTGGTGGTGATGCGAAAGATGATGATGGTCCCTCCTCAAAGAAACATGCTGTCGACAAAAAAGTGCAGGATAAGAAGAAGGAGAAGTTAATTAAAGAGAAGAAACGCATGTTGAAGCGGTTATGAGGTGTTTGAGGTATGCGGCAAAACACTGTGAAACATCAATACACCTTCGCGTTCGATTCTTAAACAAGAAAAGAAAAACATTACACTAACAGCAACATAAGCCAAAACATCAATAATGTAGTAGTAATGAAGTGGCAAGTGCAAGTACAGCTGCAGCAACAATTATTAATTAAACTCAAACGTAATATAAATAAAATTACAACAACAAAATGTAATAAAAAATAATGCAGTAATAACAGAAGTGTAGAGTAAATATGTATGTATTGCCAGGCATTGTATGTAAAATTGAAAACGGCCTTGCAAGCCGTGCGCATTAATAATTTAACAGTTATAACAAGCTAAAATCCAAGCACACCCCATACACACACACACATACACACACACACACATACACACACACATACATACACACACACATTCACACGCTAACTAATGTTACAATGCAAGCTGCGCAAAACGCACATTTTGAACTGCAAAAGCCACAAGTGTGTGATTATTATTTTGTATATTTTTCATTTTCAACTTCAAACATTTTTTTGCAAATTTTATTTATTAAAGCTTTGTGTTTAATTGTATGAATTATTAACATCACAATTAATTTCCTCAACTAATTCATGATCGATAAATACAGTTTTCTAATTCTGCTTATTTCATCTTCATGAAGTTAGTCAAGATAGGGTAATGATGGTTTTCAGAAAAATGAAACGGAAACTAAAATATTCATAAGTTTTATCTAGCATTAATTTACCTAATGTATTGTTCTTAAATTGCGTAATTATAAACACTAAAAGAGAAATCCAACTAAACCAAAATTTACTTTATGCACTATCAGTATACTGTTATTAGCGTTATGAAAATATGCACACAGAAACTATGCATATAAAGATTTTACGCGGCAATTCGAAGGCAATATATATTTTGTCAATGTAATTGCAAAAGTTCAGAACAAAGCCCAAGTATACATATGTACATGTATGGAAAAATATAAATTAAAGAAAAAAAAAAAAAAACAAGAAAGAAATCGGCTTGCTTTCGCTTACTTCGCAACTTCTTAGCGTACTTTAATGTTCGCATTGTATTTACTGTGTATTTCTTTATTGAATTGCTGAAATTTTATTTAATTCAAATCTCTTTATTTTTTGTTTGTTTTTATTTTGCATATATGTAACTCGTACTCGCCACAAATCGCCATTAACAACATCCACACAGATTTAACTGAACGCATACATTAGTTATTTCCATACATACATACATTACATACGGATTGGTATTGTTAAAGAAATACATACATCATATATATATATACATAATTATATATAGAGAAAAGAACCATGAAATCGCCTAACAGACACCTTCCCATGTACCATTTTTAGCGTGTAGTAGTCTGAAATAAAACAAAAGCAATTGTGAAAAAAATGTAGAAAATCGAAAAATGTCAATTATAATGTTGTTATAATTCTCTTGATTCTGTTGGACATTGAAGAGTGTTGGAATTTGTTATATTTCACAACTTATTCATTTATGTAGATGATTTACATACATACACATGTATGTAGGAAGTTTGCCACACATTTTTCAATGGGCTTTTTGTATAGCAGTTATGTACATACATATGTATGTAAATATCTATGTAGGCGTGATTGCGTACTTAAGGAGGCATATCAAATATTTTTTCCCCCTTTGATACACATATATATATATATATATATATATATATATATATATATATATATATATATATATATATATATATATATATATATATATATATATATATATATATATATATATATATATATGTATGTGTATGAATATTTAAAATTTGGTTTCAGTTTGTCCACATTTTTCTTTGCTCAAACATACTTAATTTGATTTATTTGGTTGAGTGGAAAAAGCTTTTTGGTAAAATTTATTTTGCCACGAATTTTTTCATATGTAAAAATTTCGCAAATTTCCTTAAAAATTGTGCTTGTCCAAGTATATTTGGTTTATGTTTGTCAACGGAGCACAATTTTTGTTTTTGTTGTTGTAGTAGCGGTTGCTTTACACCGCTTAGGGACAGGCTAGTTAGTGTAAGTAACCGAGGTCATCTAACGTGAGGTTACTGAACCTCCATCTAGGCACATCAGAAAGGGATTAGTAGATCTTAAGGACACAATCCAGCAACACGTGCAACAACCGCTGGAAAGAATGGCGTACAGACAAGCACTGAACGCCATTCACCAGGAGTCAGTCAACACCTTCAAGGACTTCGTTCCAGTGAATGACGTGCTTGGAGAAAAATCACCACCTATAGCAGACAACGAGTTCGAGCTGCCTCGGGATACCCGCGTGACCCTGACACAACTCAGGTCTGGATACTGTAACAGGCTAAACTCCTACTTATCCAGACGTATGTCCTGCATGTGGGGAGACTCTCCACCCACCACCTCTTCACATTCTCACTCAAACCAACTCATTTAACCCCCCTCTTACTTTGGTCCAGCCCCGTCGAAACTGCTCGTTTCCTGGATCTCCCATTAGATAACCTCGGCGACTTAGATTGATCACACCTTTCCCTAAGCGGCGTTAGCGAACCGCTATAGCAAGAACAACGTGAGGTCTAGAAAAGGCGCTGTTTCGATGGGTTCGGACCAAAGGGAGAAGGTCGGTTAGATGTGTCATTGTCGTGCGGGGACTCAATAAATGCTTTAAATCCATAACTGGGCTGGCATCGAACAAAATCCTGATTCCGTGTGATATTTTTGCCAAAGTCGGATCCATAATGTTTCCATTTGGATTAGATGCAACCACCGCAATAGCTGCAAAACTTTTTCAGGCATTTGCGTCTCAAGCCTCTGCAGCTGTGTCTTTAGCAGCATTACGCATTTTCGATAGTCACATGACATCCGATAAATGCAATTCATGTTCTGGCTGGTGCCACTTTTGAACGTGCGCTGGCTTACGAACCACTATGGTAATAGGGCTGATTCCTCTGATTCAGCTACAAAGGGTTCTAAAGAAAGATCTGCGAGATAGTCCATTTCATTTACTGATATCTGTGGTCCAAGAAACCTAGATCTTCCTTGTAATACGCAAGGATCACGAACCGCTTCATAGTGACGGCTTAGCTTTCATCTGACACAACACTATGCCCGATGACGACATCGAAATCAAGGTGCATAGATGCGCTACTGAGGGAATGGAGAACAAGTTGACGATTCAGCGTTTTGCACTATGAACGATGAGCATAACGTGGCGTCTCCTTTGATACTTTCTCTGCTTGAACTGACGATATTATTGGCGAAGGTCTTTTCCGCGAAATAGTTGGTATCGCTACTGCTCGCTTCAGACTGATTGGTTGAATGATGGAAATCTGTCAAAACTTACTCACTGAAACGGGGGATTTGGGTTCGATGCACGTTATTCTACGCCAAGTCGATCCCCGAATAAGGAAACTTAATCTTTAAAATCATGAAATGGTAAATTAGCACAAGCGGAAGGTTCTGTAACCACTCCTCTGGCGCAGCCATGCTTTTTTGGCACAGTCAAATCGTTGTCAAATCCGACGAGTTGTGATGGTAGAGTGGAAATTTCTTTCGAAGAATACGCTTTGTTGGCAAACTGAAGAAGTACGCGAACTATTTCAGCCGGCTTTTCACATCGCACAGTTCGTTTGACAAAATGAAACGACCAAACTGTTAAACACCAGTGCGGCGTTTTATGCATGCAAGCCCACTCAACTAACATACCTCAAAATAGTTCGTTTCTGGAGCTTTCCGACCACGACTGCGGAGTTAGCTAGCGGCAACTACAAAAGAACAACAAGAAAACTTCCAAACGGGCTGAGGCTGATCAACTTCGTGGTTCAGAAATGCGTTTTCTGATACTTGATGTACAACTTTGCTTCCGCCGTTTTCCGATAGGTGGCTGTACCGGCACAAGCTGGTTGAAATACATAGATGATAATGCCTTTAAAGTGAGTGTGGACAGTGCCTAACGGATTGTCATCGCCGTTTCAGTGACAGTTGTTCTTGTTTTCGTATTATTCACCCTCGAAAATGTCCGTTTATGTGCCTAATTCTCGCCATTTGCGGGAAGTTTTACTTTTCTATTACAATTCGAGAAAAAATGCAGCTGAAGCGCATTGAATGCTCTCAGAAACTTACGGTGATGCTGCTCTGAGGGAAAGAACGTGTCGGGAGTGGTTTCAACGTTTTAAAAATGGTGATATCGATGTCGAAAATAAACATGGTGGTCGAAGAGAAAAAACCTTCAAAGATAAACAACTAGAAGCAATGCTTGATGAAGATTCGTGCCAAACCCAAGAACAGCTTGCCGAAACCATCACAGGAGATCGCTACCGAACGCAACTGATGCGCCTTAGTCGCGCGCTAAAATAAAAGCGGTCACAATATCAAGAGCGACATGACAAAGTCATCCTCCAACACGACAATGCTCGGCCTCACGTCGCAAAAGTGGGCAAAAAGTACCTGGAAACGCTGAAATAGGAAGCCTTGCCCCACCCGCCGTATTCCCCAGATGTCGCCCCATCTGACTTCCACCTATTCCGTTCGATGGCACACGGCCTGGCAGATCAACATTTTCAATCCTTCGAAGAATTTTAAAAATGGATTGCTTCATGAATAGCGTCAAAAGAGGACTGCTTTTTTCGAGCCAGGATCCGAAAATTGCCGGAAGGATGGAAGAAAGTTGTCGCTAGCGAAGGACAATACACCGATAAGAAATTATCAATCGAGGTGATGAACTGAATTAAACGATGCAGCTTTTGCAGGTCAATGGGACTGTGTGCTCCATCCAATGCACATCTCCTATGCCGAACTACATTTCACATTTGAGTATTTTGTTGTATGGTGAAAATTTACACCCTGCAAACATACAAATATGTTAATTATCGATGCTATAATTGCCGTCGAGCCGCAGCTGATCTATGCGAATACAGACACGTACATATATATCTGTTATTGTCTTTCTAATGCACATAAAATGAACTACAGTTATGCACACACTTATGTGCATACATATATATGTACATATACATATGTGCTCTACACATTTGTCTAAAAACGTAAGTATTAATTATGTACATGCATACATACATACAAACATATGTGAGTTGGCTTTGAACAAATACATTTTTTTTTTCTTCCACCTTAAACGTGGGTTTGCACAAAAATATTTCCTTTTCATGCACAAATTTTTATTTATTTTTTTTTTTGTCATGTAGGCATCAAAAACGCTATAAAACCAACAACAAACACTTGATTTGTAATAGCTCCATCAACAACAACAAATCACTCTACGAACACTGCTTTGGTGCCGCAGCAGCAGACAAGTCATATGTTAATCGCGTTCACTGCCTACTGCGTTGCGGCATGCGGCATTGCGCATGACAAAATGGATTAGAATCGTTATATTGAGCTACGAGGTGTGACAATAAAGTAATGCGACTGATTATATTGCCGCGATTGTAGTAAACCTGCGACCTTGAAACTCCCTCTACCTTCTCCCGGCATCCTTCTCCTCTCCATTGATATATTTGCCAACGCTCTAGCTTGTTTAGTTCGCCTGCTCTGTCGTGTTGAGTAAGCATATGTTCGTGGTGCTCTTCACGAAAATGGAAAAACGAAATCAAGAGCAACGCGTTGCTATAAAATTTAGCGCCAAATTGGGCGAAGCAGCTTTGGAAACGTACGCTAAAATTGTAAAAGTGCATGGTGATAGTGTTCTTAGTCGTGCCCTAGTGTTTGGATGGCAATAAAGAGCTTAAGGAGGAGCGTGAAAGCGTAGAAGATGAAGCGCGTAGCACGCCGAAGGTGAAAACAATGATTAATGCCTTTTGTGATGACTATGGAGTCGTCTACAAAGAATTTCTTCCAAAGGAGCAAACCGTAAATTATGTCTACTATCGCCAAGTACTCTAAAGGTTGCGAAAATGAGTCGCTCGTAACTGGATCCTTCATTACGACAACGCGCCGTCCCACGCCGCCCTCAGCGTGTCCCAGTATTTGGCCTCTAAAGAGATCGCCGCGTTGCAACAACCGCCTTATTCACCCGATATGTCACCCTGGTATTTTTTTTGTTCCCTAGAACAAAATCGGTGGACAAAAGAAGTGTTGTAGAATAATTTTGAAATATACGGTTTTTATGGAATCAGTCTCATTACTTAATTGTCACACCTCGTACTGCATGTATAGTGCCTATAAGCCACACTGGAAAGACCCGTGGCTAAAGAAATGTTTTACAAATGTATATGTTAAAGTTGGTTTTAAGGGTGAGATCGAAGGTCGTGGAATTTTTTTATTTATGCAAAGTACTTAAATACATGAATTTAAAAAAAAATTATATTACTAACTTAGACTAAATAGCCTGTTCCTAACCGAGGTTGGAGAACCAATACCACTGCCACAACAACAATAACACTAATAGTAGCGA